CTTACCCCGGAGCAGCGGAGAAGGGCCCCGCTCCCACCCGCCGTAGGCTGGAGCCGGCCCGCTCCCTGCGGCGCTGAGAGCATCCTGTAGCCTTCGGGCTTTATCCCTCCTGCTTTAGGCTGTTTCAAGGCCCCGCTTCCCAGGGGCTGGTTAATGGATTTTTAACCATGAAAAATGACAGTAAAAGGAAAAGGGATAAAAGAATTCTGACAAAGACTCTTGTTATCTAGCTCAGGGCTTGCTCTAAAGTTAAGGGCAACAAAGTATGCGACCACCTCAGGAAACCATAAAAAATTAATTGTAGAGTACAGGTACTTGTTAACATTTTGGGACAAAATTGTACGAGATCTCCTGCGAATGCCTTCAGGAGCTCCAGTAAAGATGTCTGAATACAAGAGGTTTTCCAAAACACGCTGCACCGCATGCGAGTATACTGTCAAACAGGATGCTTTCAGCCAAATGTTTCTGGCAACTGCCAACCCGGGCGATGCGGTACGTTACTATCTTGTCCGTGTCCTGCTTGCGCAAGCTCATTGTGCTGTGTGCGTGGGATGTGCGTTTTTGCCTCAGTGACAGAAATGCAGGTATTTATGTCTGAGCAGCCTTATAATACTTCAAGCTATTTGTTTTTAAAGTACATAATTTCTGAGACACGCTAATATAAACCATAAATAAAGGCTGTAAAGAATTTCCAAAAACAGGGCAATGAGGCTAACAAAAATATACATGAAGCAGAATATTTTCTAAAAGATGACTTTCTTGCAAAAAAATAATCCATTTGTCAGAACATCGGCTCCACAGCCAAACTAAGGGCAAATGACAAGTGATGCTGTCAGACTGTAACAATCTTGAAAATGCAAAAAGTGAGACATTTTCTCTAGCCTTGATCATCGCTCCATAATCTTACTTTGTCTTTAGTTTTACCAGATTTTCTCACAGGGAACAAAACTGATGTTTCGATATAAAATGTAAAATGGGATGTACATGTACATCCCATGTACATGTACATGTACATTGGAGCGGTTCATCTTGAGGGCGCTCACAAGGCATGAGCGGGACAACCAGGGGATCAGGCCCAGCCAGCACAGATTCATGATAGGCAGGTCCTGCTTAACCAACCTGATCTCCTTCTATGACCAGGTGACCCGCCTAGTGGATGAGGGAAAGGCTGTGGATGTGGTCTACCTGGACTTCAGCAAGGCCTTTGACACTGTCTCCCACAGCATTCTCCTAGAGAAGCTGGCGGCTCACGGCTTAGACAGGTGTACTCTGCGCTGGGTCAAAAACTGGCTGGACGGCC